CCAAAGTATGAATAATTATAGATATTAATTTATTTTTATCCTCACTCAAGAAAATACAATCTTTTTTATCAGCAGTAATAAACAAAATTTCCCATAGGATCCAAGTATCTAAGATACAGATATCCTTCAGACGTGGAAACTGCATAGGTGCTTTTTCGTTTGAAAATGCAAAGGATGGAGATGGAAAACGTGATAGACACGTGGTCCTTTATAAAACGAGTTCACAAACCCTTCCAAACGAAATTCTGATCGAATAACATTCCGCTCGATTTCAAGTTATATTCGGTATCTGATCTCGTTCCCTGCAAATAGGTAACGTATAACGAATTCTCGTGATGTGTTATCTGTAAGACGGTTGATGGAAGAAATATATATAATAAAAAAAAAAAAAATGTAAAAGATATGAAAGAGTTTCTGCCAGGACAATTGACCGGGCATGAAGAATTCCTCGAGAAGAGGAACCGAAACGCAGCCACCACAGGGATTCGAGTTTCAATATCGGAATTGCTCGCAATAAATTGGAGATTCCTCTGATCTCTCGCACAGACTGGCAAATAGAACTTGGTTTCGATTTTTCGAATAAAAAAATTCGCGATAAACAGATCGAAAAATTCGAATTTAATTAAAAGAGGATTCCTTACAGAAGGATTTTCATAATGAATCATTTCTGGGCAACTAAATATTGGATTGTAAACACGTAGGATACATTAATGAGGCTTGGTTTTTTAAATATATTTAAGAATTAGTTTGTTATTATTCAGAAATTGAGATTTTTATGGCAATACAAACTCGAATTAAATATTCTAGAAAGATAACAGGAAGCTTAACTCGTGAAGATTTTTATAAAAATTTACTTAAAATCGATTGGAGCAAGTTAATTTCTGAAAGATGATAGAATGTTTGAGAAATTTTCATCTCACTTTTGTTGTAAAATTTTTAAAACAATATCTCTGTAAGGATCGAGATCTAAATTAACCTGTAATATAAGAGATTATTATTATTTTTGACTGTAGAATTTGAATATCACAAATAGCATAGATTATGATCATCAGCCAAAGAATGTATATTAATAGGATTTCGAATATTAATACAATCGAGATTTGAATATTATCAAGTATCGCTATTGTTGTTACGAATATTATTTCCAAATACTATTATATTTATAGAATATTGGACTATCAAATATTATATGTAGAACATTATTATCTCATTTACCGTAAACAAGAACTCGTATTCATTTATGTATTAACTATTCTGGAATTTTAACTGGTACCATTATCTTGTTAATTTAATCTTTTGCCAATAAATTTATTAAATTCATTAAATTATTAAATTTTGAAAGAAAGAAAAATAATGATTTTTTATTTTTATATTTATTTAAAATACAAATGTTTCTTTTAGAAATATTCTTAAATGAAACAAAAATTATACGTGCCAACTTTTTAGGAGATAAATAATCTTGAATTATTCAATAATCGAGTAATAATTAATTGCGCGATAATGGTCTTCAAGTCTTTAAGAATATAACATAGAAAGTGTTAATTTTAGGAGATCAGAAAATCAGGGAGGAGGATTCAAAGATTCACAAATCGTATTTTAGATTTAAATTTCGTTAGGGAGAATTTCAATTCATTCACACCAGTTTGAAATGTATTTTATACGATGAAAATTCATTTTCAAAAATCATATTATTCACATTGTTAATCTTTGAGAAGTCGGAAACGTTTCGTGCGTCTTCTCGTATTTACTGTCTTCCGAAGTTCAGCCTTTCTTCGTCCTCCTGTATTCGTTTGCACGAAACTCCCTGCTCCAATATTTATGCACGCAACATTCACCGGAAAGTTTCGCTTCTATCAACTTCTCGGATTTGAAGTTTTAACTAAACTTTCACGATGAATAAATTGACACGCGGCTAACGCACTCTTACGAAACAATGAACCAACGATATCGACCTACTGTCATCCTGATTGAAACTTTCATACAATTATCAATTAACATTCGCGTAGGTGAGCAGGAAAAAAGGATCTTATTGACTAACATTTTCATGGCGAATCGTTTCAAGAAACACATCGACACACCTTGTGCAAATATTTTGAATACACTCGAAATGTTAATTATCAGTTCTAAAAATAAAAAGGAATATAGATATTAATATATTCCTTGTATTTATGATTTCAAATTTTGTATCGTATTATTTAATTATTAATATTTATTATGAACAGTTCAATTTTTGTCTTACTTTTTGTACAAGTGCATACATCGTATCGTTCGCTCGACAATTTCGAAAAAAGAGGGATGCATTTCATATTCCATTTTTCATGCTCTATTTCCCCATCCTCTCTTGTATTTTACTTTTAATTATTCCTGCAATTAAACTTCTCTCGATGTAATTATAATATTCAGAATAGAAATTCAACATTCAGTAACACAAGAAACGTGGAAACGTAATTTCGATATATGTATTAAATTATTAACAGATGGAATGATTGAAGATTCATGTTTTAACGTTTTATAGATTTGTTTAAAAAATAACGTCAATCAAAGCTTGATTAAATATATTCGATATCTTGTCGAAAAGCAAAGTTAAAATTATTATTACAAATTAAATTCTTGTATCGATTTATTAATAATTCCTCGATTTATTTCTCACATTTATATTTGCCAATTCAGAATTTTCATATCAATGACAAATTATTTATTCTTTCAACATAATCTTTTCATGAATTCTATGATAATAGACAACAGCGATACTAGCGCCACGTGATTAACTATTAAGAGCCAATATATTTACATACATAAATATATTAAATTACTAAATATTACTAAATTATCTTTAATCATTTATCACTTTTCTACTTTTCGCTATTTACAAACACGAGAAAAACAACAATATTTCGTATTTAATTCTTGATGTGAAAGTTATACGCTTGGCAGCTATTTTTAAACCTGTACGAGAAATATACAATCGCGTCCACACAAAATTCGCATAATTATCTGTTTCAGTTCAATTATTAACATTCGTTTTTACAATGGATCGATCGTTAAAAGTAAAAAGTATAAAAAGTGTAAAACCACACCATTTAAATCAACAACATATCTACGAAATCGGTTGTTTCGGTTGTTACAGCCACCTAATAATGATAATAAACCATCGTCTGATATTCCAGGAGAAAAAGTACAGGAAAATAAGAATGGCGGAGATATCGTTGTGAATTCGAGAAACCCGTTAACGTGCTCGCGATCCTGTGGCGTGCACTGATTAACCCCAGAAGCACTCCTTTGATCTCGCCGCGGCGTGCTCGAGGAAATTAGAAACACTCCGCGAATTTACGTGAGAGCCAGTTTCACGTGGTGGTGGTGTGCGTGTGTGCGCGAGGAAACGCTTCGCGACAACGAAGCCGATTCACGAGGGTTTTAGAAGGCGGGGGAGAGGTGCGACCAGTTCGAATCAAACGCGAACAGAGTTAATGACGCTATCAAGGAGAAACTTTCTCCGCGGAAATTCGTGTGGATTCAACACTGTAAAGAGGAATGCGCGTCGGTGAAGTGGAATTGGGGGGAGGGGAGGGGGGGGGGAGGGTAATGCAAATCTACAGGGTGTTCCTGTAGAATGCAGTTGTTCTAATCTGATTTATCCTCGGTCGAGGAATTTTAGGTATTTTTGAATTTTGAATCGGAGAATTTCCGTCTGAGGAATTTTGAATTTCTCGACTATTTTTGAATTTCGAGGAATTTCTACTTGTGTTTGGACAAGGATTATTATTTATTTATTATTGTATATTATTAATATAGAATAATTAAATGGAAAAATATATTTGATTTTATAATAATATTTATAATAATATTTTTGAGTATTATTTATTGTAAGGTGAACTTTTAGAAACAGAGAAAAAATTATCTCTTAATTTTTCCTTAATGAAGACTTTTTCCTTATTAAAAATACATTAAATGGAAATACGAGGATAAAATCGAACTTCATATTATTGTTATCTGTTTTTGAAACATATTGCTCCGATCTTAAATGACCCAATCATAGTTATACGAGATTTTATTCGCTTTCACAAGAAGAATACGAAATAATTTACAATAATAGGTGCGGAAATGAAAGAGAAATGGGTTGCTTTTCCTAGAATTGTTCGAAGCGAGACTATAACTTTGTTTCGTATGTAGGACTTGGTGAAGTCTGTTCCATGCACAGAGTGGTTCTAGAAAGTGAACCAGGCTATAGATCTTTGTGTACGCGAAGGTGAAAAGAATTGGAAAATATTGGGGAAAGAATTTAAAGGGAAACACGTTGCATTGTGTGCGGAATTCCACCTATTATATATTTTTTTAGAATTGTGTACGAATACAATGCCACTCGTCTCGAGATAGAGAAAGTTATCTATCTTGCCTCCAGACAAGGCAAAACACATTTTCCAATCGAATAAAAGAATTTAAAGAAAGGAAACGTAGAAGACTTTATTATAATTATTATACTTCCAACAATTTCTTCTCGCGTTCTATTTTACCCTTTCTCACTTTAAAAAGTTAAAATTTTGCAGGAATAAGAATTAATTAAATATCTACAGATAAATTTACTACTGCACAATTTAAAAAGAAAAACTTTCCATCTATTTACCCAATCATATAATATTATTACACAAATATATACACAATAATTAACTAATTACTTTCACTTCCACTTAACATCCTTCATATTCCTATTAAAAAATTTTCAAATCAAATTCTATCACACTTACTTATCATCCTATTAATTCAACCCAAGATTATAATTATATCACTCGTAAGCTAACAAACTGAAAACAAAACTGGAGAACCTTAGATGGATAAGAAATAAATGAAAAAGCCTGTAGCCAAGAGCAAGAGTTGGGTGACTTGCGATGCCGTACACGCGTGCATCGAGGAGAAAAGGGGTGGTTGGCGAGGGATAGAGCCGAGCATGTTGAATACGTCGAGTTCCCCGCGATACTCTGTAATGTCGTGAAGCATGTACTTACACACTACTGTAAGATTCTTCGAGCCGCTGGCCGTGGAGAAAGTCGGCGCGTCCGCCGTAACTTCGCAACTGAATTTACCCGAGACGGCGAAGCTGACGTCGCGCAGGGTTACCTGGCTCTTGTTCGAGTTCTCCTCCTGAAACAGAGCAACGTGTGTGTGCGCAAAGTGAATGCAAATGGATGTATCAGCCGTGGCGTTATCGCCGCGTTATCGCGAAAACGTTGGAGGAATCAAGGATAAATACATTTACGTAGACCGGCTCGAGTTAAACTTCACGGTTAAATTTCGGTTCTGATTGTTTGATACCAGTTGTTTCCTATTATTTAGTTTCTCCCGTTGTCGTTCGAAATTGAATGAGGGTTCGTTCGGTTTGTATTTAAGTTTGTTTTGAAATGGAAGAAACATCGGGCAATTGTTTGCTGTTTCGGTGGATCGAGTTATGATATTAAACGATGGTAGAACTGTGCGTGTTTTTGTTCTATCGATATCGGATTGGATGAAATTCGTATAAATGGTTTCGATCTCTTCCTTTTTCTAATTTTATCGTTAATTCGAGTGTTAATAGTGAGGTAGTTTGATAGAAGTAGTTTAATAACTTTAATTTAATTATCATCGACTTGTTATTTGAATCTTGCTCGTGTCAGTATGATGAAATTTAATATCGTGTATACCTAACGCGATTTAAAATATGCAATTTGAAATTATATTTTCATAATATTATATGAAATATTCTTACGTAATGGTTTATTCATAACTATTGAAAGACAAATAATTTTATTAAATTTTGTATATAGATAAATGAAATCACTATATATATATATATTAAATGTGTAGAATCATTAGCTTCTGTGATTACAATTACATAATTTTTAAATTATAAATTGATAATGATGATTCTAATTTATTTACTTATTATTGTATGCATATTATATATATATATTTCGTATACAACTGTCACAATTGTTTAAATTTTTAAATTGATATAATAAAAATAAAGTATCACGAAGAGACGAAACGGATTGACTCTAAATCCTTTCGCTTCCTTATATTTTATTGCAGAATCCATTTGAAATCCGACTTTTAGAGTGTACACATCAATTCAAGAGATCTTTCATGCCACTGCTGTACCTCCCAGGTTATGCAATACCATATATCATGACTGTCGGGCATAAATATTGGATTTTCAACGATTTTTTTGTCAAATATTTTCCCCAGTAAATCATTAATTCTTTATTCCTGTGAATGTACGTATAATTCTCTATCTCTAAGTGTTATTGCCCTATACTTAACAATCGTAATATTATCAAATTGAAAAGAACACATTTTTCCAATTTTAATATTAATAAAAATTATTCGTATTTAAAAAGATATTTATCAGTCTCTGTTGAAATACTAATATCTTGCGTATTAATATATTAATAGGTTCGTATTTTGTAATATAATTAAATGTTAATGGATGTATAGATTATTAATGTTAATATGTTCCATAATACAATAACAATAATACAATAACAATTGAAAATTAATTTTGGTACTCGTTATTATTGTTGTAATCTGATTCAACAGCTTTCTATATTATTCAGACAATGTTCGACAGAACCTGATAATTACTAATAAATAATATAAAATCATTATTACACGTGACGATCTAATCAGATAGATTTCTTTGTTTTCCCAATCTCATCAAACGTTCTATACGTTGTGTGAGCGTATATCCATCGACAATTAATACGTAAATTAGTATTAACAATTGTATTTCGAAATGGTAGTTGTTATTGGATGATCGGAATTCTCGAACGAAAGCGTATTATTTAAAGCGAACCCACAAACCCAATGAGAATTCAATTTGCCCGTTGCAATTTACCGAATTAACAGTTTTGATGACGTTATTTAATCGAGAAACAATTGTTTTGTTGTCCATTTTTTTCTTTCTATTTTTTTTTTTTTTTAATTTTCATTTACATAGAATACTCTGTCTTCTGTTCGATGTTACGCTCAATTTAATTGTTATACTGGCACGCATAATACATTAATTCGATTTATTATATTAAAAACTTCGAATATTTCTGAAATGATAGAGATTAAAATTGAAAATTGTTAATGATATGCAACGTAATTAAAAACCTTTTAGTTAGATAGCAACGAGAGAATATTTTTACGAATGAAACGGGCAATTTTGAATAAGCTTTTAACCGATATTGATTATTAAATAAATAATAATATCTGTCAGGATATTTATAAACAAATAAAGCAAATTTTGCAAAAGCACGAACAATATATATATATATTATTATTATTTAAATCAAATAATATTGACAAGAAAAACAAATCATTAGCAAAATTTCAAATGATTGAACTTCAACGATCCATATCAATTTATTAAGTTTAAAAGAAATTCATTCAATATCGAACAAACGGCCATCCTTTCATATTCCTAATTTCACGCCAAAAATCGACCGAAAACTTTTATACCAACCAGCTGTTATAAAGTTATATTATTATACCTCGATGAAGACTTTTATATCTTTTATCTAAGATCGAACAATAACCCTTCCCCCTCCAAGATGTTAAACGCTTCCACGCGCATTTCATGCCGAGGAATATAAAATTTCACACCGACTATTCCATACGAGCGTGGAAATTCATCCGATCGCGTGCTAATCGATATCCATGCAGCTCTACACGTCTCAAACATCCGGATATATATATATACCGGTTCGATTATTACCTCTGGGGACATCCGTCGTGTCACGAAATATTAAACGTTCGTCCTATATTTCTATATTAAAAGAGACGGCGAAACGTTGAAGTCGACAAAGGCTGCAAAGAGATTCTCTCTCTCTCTCTCTCTCTCTTTCTTCTTCTTTTTTCTCCACCCCCTTCTTTTCTTAAATGTTTCTCCGGTGACCAGGCAACGCAGAGCACTCGAGAAAATCGTCATCTTATCAGGAATTACCCTGCACTCGAGTAAATTGGCTCGATGAAGCGAGCGCGAAGGCCGAGACACGCGAAGATAGCGGCGAAGGCGGGGCTGCAGCCTTCCTCCGGGAATAGTGGTGGAAGATCGTTTCATCGTTACAGGCAAAGGCAAAATATGCATAATTAGCGGGATTTAAATAACGAAGGAGAAAGATATGCCGTTGGACGCGGGAGAGAGAGAGAAGGGGGGGTGGCTTTTAACGGGGATGAAAGAAACGAAGAAGGAGGAGAGGGCTTTTTTTCATCAAGCTTCGTTTGATTTATGTGTGTTGGATGCATACGATGGACGCTGAGGAAACTGTGGAAAAGATTGTTCATTATGGAATCTTGAATTTCTTCTCTGATGTTTATTAAGATGTTTATCAGGGAAGATATATAATGGATGGAGTTTGGAGGATATTTTTTTATAGAAATTTAATTAAACTCTTATTTGTTTCAAGTAAGGAATGTTTCTTCGTGAATTATCGTATAAGGATCTTGCTTGTTATTTAAGGATTTGAAGAAGATTTTATATTATATTAATTGATTGTGAAATGGATGTTATTATTACAGATCAATGAATTATTTATTAGGTTTTGGTTTAAGGATAAATGAAGAATAAGAATTTTTATGTAAGAAATCTTTGGTTTTAGGATAAAGAATGTTAAAATTAGCGGATTGATTTTTTTTATGATTAAATACTAATTTTCTAATATCTGATTTTGCAATACACCATTATACTTTCTCTTCTATTGTTTCACAGTAGATTATGCCTATAATCAGACTCTTTTCTGACTACTTTTCTAAATATTATAAAAACATTTAGATAAATATTTTTAGATAATAATTTTTTTCCACTTGTAACAGAATATACTTATAAAGTAATATCTATACAAAAACTTTCAATACAATAAAATAATATATAAATATATACAAAATAAAACATCTAATACAAACTAAATGATCACGATCAAACTTTCATATACGCTATCCTATCCTAAAGCAATTTTGCGGATCATATATATCATACAATATTCAATTCCATAAAAAAGCAAAAAAAAAAAAAAGAACTCTGCAAACAAATATAACGAAAAAAAAAAAAAAAAGTAAACGTCAACTCGTTATATCAGCTCTCGAAGTCCTCTAAAGAGAAAAATGGTTATCCAACTAACAAGAAAAAAGAGAGAGAACAAAGATAAAACGAAAATACAAAAGCTCTCGTCACGATGTATGATAGAGTGCGTAAGTAAAAAGTTCAAAACTCGCTGATACCGTTAAAATGAACGTACGATGTGGGTATATATATTTCCTTCACGCGTCGAACAACGTTGTTTTTTCGTTCGAACCTTTTGCAGCCATGCGAAATGGCCATCGCGAATTAAAGTTTTTACAAATTAACAGAGAGATATATTGAACGACAGCGAAATTCGTGGATATATGTTCGTTCATATCGAGATGCGAATTTTCAATTACTGTCACATCTACTTTTGTAACTAGATTTGTAACTAGAATATAGTTCCCTCAAAAGGAATACCGAATGAACTTTAAAATTAGAAAAGAAGATGAAGAATATTTAATTTTGCTAATAATTAAAAAGAGCAAAAAAAAATAATGTATATAGCCAAATCAAACGCTTGGAATGTTAAAAAATTTTTTAAAAATTTACAAATTTAAAAATGAAAAAAAAAACCAATCTATATTCAATAAAATATTGAAATGTAATGTATATTATCTATTCTAATGAATAAATAAACGATCTACGACTAATCTATCATCTTTTATGGACAGCAATACAACCTAACATTACGAATATTCACGTATCAAAGATAAATAAACTGTTAAACAAACGAAACAACTAAACAATCATTACCAATCTATCTGTATAAAATTAACCAGTGAATACGCGTCATCTTTCAACACACGCACACGTAGAAAACACTTTGAATTACGGAGAACAGATGCGTCTGCCTGATAAAGGTAAAAGCGACGATACCATTCCATACTCGCCATTGTTCGTTCGAAATTCGGGCCAAAATAACGGGAACAACGAAAACAACAACAGGCCAGACGCGACTGGTTTTCAGCCGCGTAAACGCATATGAGCAGAGCCATGATGGCGGCGGCCTGCGCGGAACCAAAATGGGAACCGGAAACGCGTGCAAACATCGGGATCGCGCGGAAATGTTCGAACGATGATAAAAGCCGCCTGTTTTACGGCGATTACAGCGGTCAAGGATGGTGTTAACAAGCGTCGCACGGCACGCTTGTGCGATGAAACCACATATTTGGATCGTTGCTGGCCAACCGGAAGGTTATTCCCGCGCGACGTCCACCGTTGTTTGTTGTTTCACGACGATTGATGCGCCCCACAACCCCACTCGTCGAATATTCTCACCGAAAACAAAGGATTAATCCGCTTATTTAAGGACGCAAACTTCCTTTTTCGCGACTGGTTTACGACAAGTTTTATTTCTTACGAAAAGTAATTCGAGAATCGCTCGTAGATTTCGTTTTATTTTATCTTATGGTAGTTGGATTGTCTGTAATTTCTTGTTGAACAACAGCGTAATTCGTTAATTTGAGGAATGTTGTTTCCTTGACGATTTGCGCGTGTATATATAATGAGAATTGGATTATTGTAATTATTGGATTGTAATCACTTTCGTTCTGACGACTTTTGTCTGACGATTATTATGATCATTCGTATAATGGAAGGTTAATTGTAATATAATGAATTCATCATTAAATGGATATTTGTGTGTTATCGATTAAAAGTCTTAAACGATGATGGCTGATTAATCGAGCTGTTAATTATAAATGGTAATGCACGGTATTTACATATGTTTAATGTGTAAATTGCAAGTAATATAATGCCTGATTAAATTTATTCAAATTAACGCTTTGTGCGATATACCTTGTGCAATAATAATCTAATAACAATTGTAATCTAACCTAATTAACGATAATTTCTCTTGTTTCCATACATTTCTTTTCAACAACTTCTTCGAATCAATATGTTCGAATTAAGAGGGAGCCGATTCATTTTACACGAATGCAACGAATATAAATACCGTAATAGGTGCAATGTCCAATATCATACGCAACATCGCGCAAAAAGGGGGCGGCGGGAAACACAAAAAAAAAAATGGATTGACACTCACGTCAACGTTAATCCCGGTAACATTGAAGATCTTGGTCGACGGCTCCTCGCTGGGCGTGTAACGGTAGAACTCGTACCTGCCGCGGTACCACTTGAGGGAGTAAAGAGGCGCCTCCTCGAGATTGTAATGGCAGCGGAGAATCACCTTCTGACCACGTTCCGCTATCTCCGGAACTACTTCTAGGCTGACATTCCGCAGGCAGCTCGCACCTTTGTGGGAAATGAGAACAGGAACGGAGCATTAAGTCTAGTGTGCATCATTAGTCCGCTTTTACTCCTCGCGCCGGAGGTTGCACAGCACGCGTCAGCGAGAAATTGCAATTCCACCGAATGACAATTCCTCTCCGCTCCCCCCCAACCCCATTCCGCCTCCCACTCAGCCAACCGTGCACACATCACGCACACATATGTAAACGTTTCACACCGTTCTCAAACGTACAATTTTTCTTCTCTCGCGCTTCCCCCCCCTCGATCAACATACCACTTTCTTTCACGTCCTCCCCCCCGTTCCTAGAACCCGCACACACCCCCCTCCCTCGATTTTCTGTATTTTCCGCTGACGTTCCCCCGTTTACCCCGGATTATCGACGATTCGACCTATTAAAGCCCCGAGCAATTGAACCGTATACGTCATTCATATTAAAACAGAATCGAGCTTTTGCTGCTTCCTCGTGTCGCTTCAGGATGAGACCTCTTATTACGTGCTAGCTTCCGGCTACGGGGAAGTAGGTAGACGTCGCTCGAGCACCGACGAATAGGGGCGAAACTCCGCGGGCTGATTTAGGCTGGGAAACATCCGGGGCCATGATATTTTACCGGCCATATTATCTTTTCGACGGGAGTCGCGAACCTTTGTCACCGGGAAAAGGGGGACACCACCGTGACCTGGAGAAGGATAAATTGGTGTAGGATGTTGGTTTCTCTTTCTTGGGTATAGCTGTGTTCGTTGAAATTGATTTAGATTGGATTTTATTTTGTCCTCGAATGATTTGGCCCGCAAATATTGTTCGTTCGATTCTGCGAATTTCTTTGAATTTCTATTTTTGAAAGGTGTGTGTGTGTGTTCTTTTTTTAGTTTAATTTTAAAGATTGCAAGGACAGTTTTTTTTATTTAAAGAAATTATTCATTGGAAGAGATCAAGTCGCGTGGATCTCGTTGAAGATAATGATTATATTATTAATATGATCAATCGATATCGATTTGCAATCGGTATAATATTTCATGAATGTATTATAGAATAATGTAATCCCACATGGCCTATCTATTATCCCAAAAATTCATTATTCGAGAACTTGTGCACTTGTTACGAGAGATTTCGGTCGGAAAATTGGATCAAATTCAAGAATTAAAATTCACGATATATAGGTATAAGAATTTTTATCAGATCAATCTAACAATTATATAAAAGAAAAATTATGTATGTGCGTTTTATTTGAGAATTGGCCTTATTTAGTAAAAGAAAGAAGAAAAAATTCAATAAAAAAGATGGAAATCATTTATTGTAATTACTGTCTCAATTTTACCCTCCCTCCCCCTCTCCTGTTGAAGCTTGAAGCTTTTACATCAAATCCTCGAAGGAAGAAGAAATTACATTTATTGTACTATTCAGAAAAATTTCAATAAACTTTGTTTCAAGTTGCACAGTTTGTGCAATAATTTATGGGAAAATAAGAAAAGAAATCGAAACAACTCTTTTTTCCCAAAAACTTCGAAATAGTAAACTCCGTACTCTTCTCTATTGAGTCACGTGACCAGAATGAGAGTTGAAATTTCTTTTAGAATGCTAGTTTCCCAACTAAAGTTTATTCTATTTTTTATCCACCTACTTCACGATACCGAATTTAATCTAAAAAATATTCTTTCGCCAACTTTTAAATTATATTATAAATTTCTTATTCTCACCAATGTTATCGAATAATATAATAATAATAATAATAATAATAATATCTGAATCTTTTATTACTCTCGAATATTTTTATCTTTCTTAATCTTATAATAAACAAAAATACAGTACAATAATTAATACGAAAATACTATTTTTTACGTTTGTTTTAAGATTATTAAGCTTAATTTGAAAATATTTTGTGAAATACATTTTTTACAATTATAGGTCAATGAGTGACACATGATATATCTTGCGCATTGATGAAAACGAACACGATTTTATGCTACTCAACTATTTTTCAACGAATAAATATTAAAACATGATCCGCATTATAGAGATTTTTTTTTTATATAAATATAAAAATGTATATATGCTATGAAATGCGGATATACGATAGGGGAAATAACTTTTCAGTGAGAGTTTTATTTTAATATTTGCGTCATCAATATCTCTTTATGCAGTATCACGTATTGTCGCAAAATAGCGTTGTAGTCGTAATGACGTTTCAGATAAAAAAAAACGCACGTGCAATTTTTTATGGAATTTTAAATCGATAAAATGTTGTTATATTTGATTTTTTTTTTTTTTCTAGCAAAGTTAAAGCTTATTGAGAGAATTGTAAATACGTAGCAATGGAGTTCTGTGTACACGTTCTAAAAGATATGTTTTTTCAACAGATTCAACTGGTCTTGTTCAAAGTAAACACAGGTGTCAATGGGGAGAGTAACTGGAATATACTTCGTGCACATTTTAAAAAGTTTTCGAAACTGAAAAATAACGAAATGTTATTTTAATTTTTCGATTCATAAAATGCTTGCAACTTAAAATTCATTTCGCAATTATATCCTTTAGAACGAATCTTTCTTTTAATTTTTTTAATTTAGAACAATCAATTATAAAATTATAACTTCCTAGTAGAAACTTTATTTATTATCATTAATGAATAAAATATTTTTTCATAAATTTAAATTCGTAAATTCGCAAACAACGATTTGATTTTTCAATTTCTATTAATACTGTCAATGCGTATCATAAAATACATTGTATCTATATTGAAAAAAAGAAAAATTTCAATATATATACATTTCAGAAAGAGATATGTGTATTAAAGTCTCCTAAACATTTTTCAACACTTAATATCCATACATATTTTTCGTTCGTATTCGTGTTTCGGGCGACATTTGCGACAAGTACAAGAAAAATAAATGAAAATTCTTGGCGCACAAAAGCCAAAAAGCTGCAAAGTTGGAGGAGTATTTCCTCCTTTCATTTCGAACTGAAAGAAATTCTAGGAAATGTAGGCAGGTACATGGCGCATGTTGAAAGTTTCTGGGGACTGCTTTTGAGGATCACGATGTTCTCAATCTTCGTTTGCTTTCTTCTACTCTTTTACCTTGTTATTCGACGCGCGAGAAAAAAAAAATACATATATATATATATACATCTCAATTTGAGATCTATTTACATGTCACAATTTATTGAATTAACCGTGAAAGTTTCGTTCATCGATAACTTTTCACTTTTGGAAGTGAAATGGATCAGTTCCATTTTTCGAAGAATCCTTAATTGCGAAAATCGTTATAAAAATTCGTATTTAAAATCCAATTTTTTCCCCCCTTCTAAATTCGATAATTGACGAAAAAATTCAGAGATATATTTTCGTTAAGTGTAATTACTAAAGACATAGTTGCCTCTCCCTCTTTCTCGATTTTCACTGTTTTCTTAACCGACGAGCACTTCTGTCTACCATTTCATTCTGATATTTTCAGCCAACGTGCGAACATGCACTAAGCAAACTAAGCTTCAATTCCTGACCACAATTAGAATTGCAGAATCCAGTTAGTTCTTCCTCTGCCTGGTTTCTTTTTCTTTTCCCAATGAATTGCAAATAACTCTTATTCGACGAATTAATGTTGCTTAAAAAAGAAAAAGGGGAAAATATAGTCAAGTGCAAAACAAAATAACAGATACAACTTAAATTATTTCGTTGAATAACGTGTATCTTTCTATAGAGATGTTTTTAATTTTTCATTTACATTGTTGAAGTTTAAGATTCATCATAGCCAAGAGAAAATAGAAATTATAAATTCACTTTACTTTATGTTTTAAAAACCTGTCGTATAAATTTGAATTATTAATTATATCGCAACTCAAAGAATTCTCAATTAGAAATCGATGCAACGGCAATGATGAAACAACGAAATTTATATAAATTTTATCCACCCTTCTATATAACAATGAAAAATACACTGGAATATCCGTAATAACATTAAAACGCATTTCATTATAACACATTTCATTTTAATATTCCACTCGCAAATTTTCACTCGACAAACACGCGTAACAATATTAAAATACACTTCTCACATTTTTCACGTTTATCCCCTACCTTTATACACATCCAAACGAAGATAATGTCAATCCGATTTTCCTCCACGCTGGAAAAAAGATTCGCGATCCCTTTTAATAGCGATAATTAAAACCGGCCAATTTCCAGTTCTTATCTAAATTTTCAGCGCCCGGGGAACGATCCATTCGACGTTTTCGAGCGCGATAAATTTCCCGCGAGCCACCGTTCATTTCTGACATTTTCATCCAATCCGAAAACCTGGCATGAAACAAATCGATCAATTACGGCTTTCGTCCCTCCCTTTCCCTCTCCCCTTTTTTTTATCTCCCTCGGTTTACAACTGGGTGTGCAGCTGCGAGCACGGTTTACGCAAATTAAACGGCACACGAAGCTTCCGACCGAGCTATAATCAGAATTGCAAAATTTCGTACGTGGAAACAGACAGAGAAGGATATTGCCCGTCTTCTTTCCAGCGAGATATATATATTTTACAAGTTTGGACGCACCTGATGCCGTAAATAAACGCGTGTATTCGCCGCGTTGAAAGTTTTATTACGGTGTAACACGTGGAAACGTTTCCTTAGCGGGGGGAAAAGAGAAATACCCCGCAAGGTTTCGAGGAAAACCGCGAGGATCGTATTTGAGAAACGAATATATATATATATCTATTTATTTTTGAAATTCGTTTCGATAAACATAGCTTCTCTGTACTTCTTTTTTTTTTTTTTTCTTTTGAAAGTATATGGCGGAAAATTCGATGTTTAATTCAAAATATGTAAAAGTATTCCTGCGATATGAATTTTGTATTAATAATAGGATTATTCGTGAATTAATTAGATAAATGAATTACTTGAATTATCGTGCAAAATGTATTAAAGAGCGTTTACACAAAATTCGAGAGCACATTTTCGAGACTTCAATTTTTACCTTCAACTGTTAAATCGAACTAAAAGGGAGATGTTAAAAATTTCAAT